TGGCCCATATAGATGGTATCCTACTAGGACAAATGCTACCTTTCATATTTTTTTTTTTAAACTAAAATGTAAAGCCATCAGGATACCAACTTTGACTAGTAATCAGACTAATTTGATCAGGTTGATGTCTAAATGCTATCAGAACAAAAGTCTCCATGTATTTGCTCAGCCAAGGCCATAGACTTTGTTTGTGTCTGAAACTCTTTACTACTGTCCCACTAGACAAGATCACTCTTTAGATGGTCAGCTACCTGCACTTAGATTTGGAGGAATTCCAGTTAAATGGAGAATTTAGAAATTCTGAAGTTAAATATCTGCATAATTGAGTTAAAGATAACTCCTATGATACTGGTGTAAAGGGGCATGCCAAACTTCCATTGGCTAGTTCATTACTGCATCAAGTCTCCATCAAATTATCTTATGCTTCAACAGTCTAGGACAAATCTGTCTTTATTTTTGCAGTACTATTTTGGTGATCACAATCTACCAAGAGACAAGTTCCTAAAGGAGCAGGTCAAACTGGATGATGGCTGGGTGCCTTTAGAAATAATGATCAAATTCAACAGGTAAAATGAAGTGCACGTAACCTTTGGTGGCTGGGTGCCTTCCAAATTACCATACTGTCTGAATTAGGGGCCATATGGCCTCAGTCTGTATGTACAGCTCAAATCCTGATTGAGTAATGTTGGGGATGGAGTATGTGGACATGTTTTGATATACTGTGTTCTTTCTCCATAGGTTAAGCAGTCTCTCAAAAGACTTCAATGTTATAGTAGAAGCACTGAGAAAATCTAAAGCTGGACTTATGGAAATAAGTGAAGACAAAACTAAAATCAGAAGATCTCCAAGCAAACCCCTCCCTGAAGTGAATGACCAGTATAAAAATGCAATTAAAAACAGATCTGTATATATTGTAAGCTTTCATACTCTACTGCATTACTTTCAGTTTATTACTTAAAAGGCTTTAACCCAAATGAAATTCTGATTCTATTGCTTAGGTTTATTTTAATATAAAATGAGGTGTAGCATAAGTTTTAAGCAACTGATTTGTATTTTTCAGTCACCATACTGGTTTGTAATGATACTTTCTTTAATTGGAATGTTATAGCTTCTGTTTGATGTAATTATTGGAAGTTCAATTTTACTTTGCAGAAAGGCTTTCCAACAGATGCAACACTTGATGATATCAAAGAATGGCTAGAAGGTAAAGGCTCAGTAGAAAACATTCAAATGAGGAGAACATTGAGTAAAACGTTCAAGGTAATTGTATCACAATAACTGATGCTTTGCAAGGTATGAAAAACAGGCTACTAGAGAACATTCCATTAATCTATTTAATTCTTAATATTCCCCAATTATTCAATAGGGATCAATTTTTGCAGTATTTGATAGTGTTGAATCTGCTAAGAAGTTCACAGAAATACCAAACCAAAAGTACAAAGACACAGAGCTGATTGTGCTTTTCAAGTAAGTCAACTTCATTTATGTTTGAACAGATACCTGCATTGCCATATAGGTCCAATACTGCTTGATTTGTGCAGGCTTTGCTGTTCCTCTGGAACAGTCTCAAATTATAAAGATGTTCTAGAGCTAGAAGTTTATTTGGCTACTACCATCTTCTCTCAATAAAATAAAGCCTTTTTTTATAGGCTGCATTAACTTAATTTATACCTTTATTGAAGGGAGGAGTACTTTACAAAGAAGAATGAAGAGAGGAAACAAAACAAAGTAGAGGCTAAAGCAAAGGCAAAACAGTAAGCTAGGCTCTTGTTTAATAAATGAAGCACCTTACCTTATTTAGATAATTTATATTCTAACCAACTCTGATCTGAACTCTTATAGGGAGAAAGAAGAAAAACAGAAGCAAGCAGAAGATGCTGAAATGGTATGTACCTCTTGAATGGTCTGGAAGGGTAGAATAAACAAGGTTACAATGAATCTACTTTGGTAATTGTCAAGTCTGTTTTGATACTGTATGCTTTCATATATCTGATAAGTAGTAAACCTACTTCTACCCTGTGTTTTTAGAGTAACCCTGTGATCTAACATAGGTATAGGAGGGGGTGTGTGGGGGAGAATGGCACAGATGAGCACTTCTAGTGGTACTGACAATATTTGTGCATAGGTTCACAAACTGGGGTTTCAGCCTCCAGGGCTAGTGGCGCATGGGTATCAAGGGTTGTAAATATCCTATGGAGAGTCTGGAAAGGCTGAAAAAAAGCAATGCTATGCAAGACTTCTAGAAACTTTTTTGTGCTTGGAGGTGCTTTGGTGTAAAAGTACGAGATATTTGGCCTGCTGGCAATACAGCTGGATCCGTATCACTTGATCTCTTCTCTGATCTCTTGCGGCAATCTTTTGAATACTGTCTCCTTAATACAGCTCCCTGAAACTCTGCACTTCAGTGCAAATCTCAAATTCTAGCTGCCTTATTTTTTAACAAAGTTCTCTTGTATTTAGAAATCACTGGATGAAAAGACAGGATGCTTGCTGAAATTCTCTGGCGACCTAGAAGATCAGACTTGCAGAGAAGATCTTCATGCAGTTTTCTCTGACCATGGAGAAATTAAATGGATAGACTTTGTCAGAGGGGCAAAGGAGGTCAGGAGGCTGTCAGATGAGATGTTACTTTTGTCTGTGTGAAATTTGTCTGGTATCTGAATGCTGGTTAAGTGCCTGATGGTTAACTTAGCAATGGTATACTACACCTTCCATTTGGGACTGCAGAATTAGTTTATTTCTTCAGCTTTCTAGACTAACTACTATTAGAAAGTGGTCTGAATAAAAGGTAAAAGCATTAATGTGACTCTCCTCCTGCGGAGTTACGCTTAGTCTATGGCTAAAGTAAGGACATGCTAACCTAGAGCCACAGAGGAGTGCACACTGATATGGAAGTTTGCATAAAACAAAGGCTAGACTAAAGATCTCAATTAAACAAACCAGTTATTAAATGCAACATCACGGATTGCTGGGAGAGTAGAGAGAGATTATGCAGAGCAAACCTTGGCCTTTTTCTTATTCAACCATCTATGTGCTTAGCTAAGCATATCACTGTCCATATGAAGTGCACATGCAGTTATCTAAGGGTTTTTAAAATCTGGGGGCTGGTATTTTTAGGCTCAAATGTTAAATTGACGTGAATTGTAGGTCAGTTAATACTCATGAGTCTGAAAATGATGAAGCACTAAACCTGTTAATATATAGGTTATCTTCAAAACCATATGGGCTAGAAATTTATTCTAAATGAGTTTGCAAACTGCAGCATCTGAGTCTGGCAGGAGACCTGGGGCTACCTGACACTCCAGCTACAGTCCTATTAATGCTTTTGCACTGGCAAGAGTCCATAATGCAAAGGGTGCTTGTTTCTGTGTTTAGGGGATTATCCTATTTAAGGATAATGCAAAAGAAGCACTGGATAAAGCCAAAGAAGCAAATAATGGGAACTTACAGTTGCGCAACAAAGATGTCATATGGGAGGTGCTGGAAGGAGATGCAGAGAAAGAAGCATTGAAAAAAATCATGGAGGGTCAGCAAGAATCATTAAACAAATGGAAAGCAAAAGGTGACTTTTTTCCTGACTAATTTGAATACCACTTGGATAACTTTCATGGAAGTTCTATTATATTAATGTGAACTTGTCAGATGGTACATGCACAGAGTTGTATGATTTTAGATCAGTAAATGACTAATGCATGGTTCTTAAAAGGTCCTGAACTATCTTGTACAACTTGACAGGTCGCAAATTTAAAGGTAAAGGAAGAGGTGGCAAAGTACCCCAGGGCTCACAGAACAAAGGGAAAGTACAGTTCCAGGGCAAGAAAACAAAATTTGAGAGTGAGGATGAAGAAGGTGAAGAGAACACTAAAACAGGTAAGCTGTTCTGTGCATGAGAGGGAGTAGTTCGCATGCTGCTGCGAAGCAACCCTTTGCAATCTGTGTGTATAGAGAGAAGACTGAACAAATAGTAGTTTCTTGTATTTTCTAGAAACTGCTCAAGAAATTTGAGATTTGCAAAATATGGTTTATCATATACTATTAAAGTTTTTGTTCCCTCCCAGCGCAGTTTTCCTGATCATTCAAATTCAGTCATGTTCACAGGGACACCTAACTGATGCCTCTGTGGCGGTCTGTCAAATGAAGGACTGAACTGGTACAAAAACGGACATATTCCTCTGCAGAGTTGAACATTTACAGGGCAATTCAAAGCAGCTTTCAGTGAAGAGATACTGTCCTTAGTCCTCCATTTGCTTAGCTCTACACAGCTGTTACAGTAAATTAATCATTCACCATTTTCCAAGTAAATGAATACCCTTACCTCAGTATGGTAGAAGAAACCTTTGTCTGTTAGCCATAGCCTAGAGCAGTGGTTCTTAACTCTTCCATATTGTGGGCTGTCTTCCCTTCCTGTTGAGATTTGGTGCCTGACTCAAAAGGAAAAATATGGTATCTTCCATCGTTGTTTGAAGTGTTGTGGTAGCTGTGCTGGTCCTAGGATACTAGAGAGATGAGGTGGATGAGGTAATATCTTTTATTGGACCAACTTCTGTTAATCCAATAAAAGATATTACCTCACCTACCTTGTCTTTCTAAATGACCAATACCGTTCCTGTTTTTTTTCAGACTGGAAAAGTTCTGGGTGCTCCTGTTTAGTTAATTCCCCCTGCTATGTGGTCCAAAGCCGCTGGAAACAAGTAATGAATGGGTGATGCATCATTGTTACATAGTAGCTGTGGATCACCTGGAATTGTTCCACAGGCAATATGTGAAGTACTAATTTCAAGGCAACCTGTTCATATGTAGCAGCCTGAAAGATTGAATGTCTTGAACTGGATAGGAACAGTCTTGAAAGTAATATCAAACTTCACTAGTCCCATAAGTGTCTGTCTATATTAACTCTTACAGGGCCAGCAAGTCCCAAGAAAAGACCACTAGAAGAGACTGAAAAAGAAGAACCTGCATCAAAACAGCTGAAAACAGAAAATGGAGCTGGAGATCAGTAATACTGTTTTAAAAAGCACTGAGTTTTTATTAATCCATTTTAAATAGGTTTTAAGACAGTCCTCAGTTTGGAAGTTTTTCAAAGGAAAACCTTATTAAATCCACTTCAATATCCACCTGTAATGAGAGGAAAGCTTTTTTGTGAATTTTTTTTTCCCCAGATGCATGCTTACTTTAACATGCCAACTTGGGTATTTTTTTATATTTATAGTTTTGCTTATACTGTCTGATCCTCTCAGTATTTCTCGCATTTGAGTCAAATGTATAAAGGGAGGGTATATCCCTGAATCTGACTGTAATTTTGAAGTTGTATGAAAAACACCAATAAAATTCCATATTTAAAAATCATGGACCATTGAATGCTAGCTTCAGACTTATTAATGTTAGTGGACAGAACTCTTGTCAAAGCAGAGATATGTGCACACTACTTCGTCTGTAGATAGTCAAACTATTTCCTGATTAGCATAAGGATAGCTTCAGTGGGATAAAACTCTTTTTTAGTCCCTCACTGTGGAGAAGATATCTAGCCAAATGCAACTCCAAGTGGTACGTACACAATCAAAACTTCCACTGATGCTACAATTTTTGGTCTCTGACTCTGCCTTCATGTTACATCTAGTCTCATCCAAGCCTTGCATCTTATTTCCAGGTTACTGCTGAACTATACCGTCTTTCTGATCAGACTCTTATCCAGGTCCTCCACTCTGTGTGACTTCTGTGACCTCCCCTTTAACCTTCTTGGCATCCACCTTGTTCCCCTTGGATCCACTCTAAATGCAGCCTGTTCTAACCAGGTGATCATCTCCTCTCCTTCCAAAAAAACAACAAACCCGAAACATATACTGCTTCCACTTTGTGAACTACAAAGTTTTGGTCCTTATTTATAACTCATATCTTACATCACTTACTGCTGCTTCTGTTGTCTCCTGCTCTGCCATCCCTTAACTGCCTGTTCCCACCAGCTCTTGATTGCTTTTGTCCACGCAGCCCTTATACACGGTACACCCTCACACTCGTGCAAAGCCATGACCCTTCCTTTAACAATAAAATCCTGGCCCCTTCTGAAGTCAAATGGAATTCTGCTATTGCATTCAGTGGGGGCAGGATTTCACCCCAGTCAATTGTAGGTAGGAGTAAGAGTTTAGAGCGGGGTGGGGAAACTTTTTGGCCAGAGGGCCACATGGGGGTTGCGCAACTCTATGGAGGGCTGGGTAGGGAAGGCTGTGCCTCCCCAAACAGCCTGGCTCCTGCCCCTGCTCAGAATCCCTGACCCATCCAACCCCCCCAACTTGACCCCTGACAGCCATGACCCCATCCACACCCCCACCCCTAACGGTCCCCCCGGACTCCCCCTGCTCCCTGACTGCCCCCGCCCCCTTACCATGCTGGAGCCAGCTGCGCTGCCCGACAGGAGCAGTAAGCCAGAGCGCTGCGGGCTAGCCTCCCTGGTCAGGAGCTCAGGGGCTGGGTAGAATGGTCCTGCGGGCCGTAGTTTGCCCACCTCTGGTTTAGACAGTAAACTTATTTGATACATGGAAACATGTAGCCTCTTGCACCCACTTGCTAAGTCTTAATTAGATTAATTCAGGGCCTTAGTGTGGTAAACCTTAGGCAAGATCTGAGCCTAAATGTTATGTAATACACACACACAATCCTTCAATAGAATTCTTTATGCTAGAGGTACTAACTACAGTGGTCTCCACCCATCTAGAAGAGGGTTAGAGACAACTTTTCTGGAATGTTTCTACTCCACCAACTTCAAATTATACCCTAACTTGCTCTGTAACAAAGCACATGACATCAATCCTGAAACCAAATGAGTTTGGTAACAATACTAAACTGAGTCACAAGTGCAGCTCTAACCCCTTTGTAGAGCGTCCAGCACATGATTAGGCACTACTCCAATGCAAGTTAAACTAAATTCAGATTTCAGTCTTAAACTAATAACCAATTACCTCTAGATTTCAGATACAATTTCATAATTTAATATGGGATTAGGAAAATACTTACAGAAGACTTCTTATGAAACTTGTATGATGCTGGTAAATCATATCTAAGTTCTGTGAAGAGCATAGAGAACACCTGTCATACTAAAATCACTTAGTTGCTCAGTGGTATTCAACAAACTGTACTGTACTACCTTGACCACTTTTTTTGTTGCCAGCAACTTGACTAAAATTATTTGGCTTTTCATTTATTCAGTCTCTGTCTGCCTGTTCTTGAGCTCTGGCCTGATTAGTGAATGCACATTAATACCAGAACAGGCATTTTCATATTAGCAAGTTTGTTTCTAGAAGGAAGTTGCTACTAGATAACCATCACAAAACGAGTATGACAATGAAGGAACTCTGCATTCTACTGCTGTATAAATATTGCATTATGTCTTTTTCCCCCCTACATTCTTCACTCCTACGCCATTAAAGTAGGTCACAAGTCTTGAAACATCCACCAAAATTTGGAGATCAGAAAAATTGACAGCTCAAATTGAGGACTAAGGGAATGCAGGAGCAATGAAAGATAAAACTTGTTGACAATGCTTTGAGGTGGGGTCTGCTGCCTTCTCTGATGACAAAACTGCTCCTATTTCAGTACTAAATCTTGTCCAGTTAAGACCAAATTGGTGCAACTTTTGAGAAGTTTTTCCTGACTATATCCAGAATATTTGCTTTACTTTCTGATCAACCTGGACATCTTTCATCATTAGAGGCGTTTGTCCTGGGGGCAGAAGAATCTACAAAACTTCCTATTTCATTAGTTTAGACCTCTTTATCACTTGCTCCTTGTAGTTTGTTTTACCCTCCACTTCCCAATCTACCAGTTTTTTCATCCCAATAGATCATATTTTTAAATGAGCTCCTCATATGCTACATCTGAATAGTAGCTGGTCCTGGAGGCTATTACCAACTAACAGAGCATTTTATAAAAACATGTATGTACAAGATAATCTTACCTGCTATAACTTCCATCTTCACTTTCCATTCATCTGCTTTCTTTTGAATATGCTGAACATAAGAAAATAGTCCATGAACTTAGTTCCAATTAGTTTATGGCATTTTGAGGAAACCCCATTAAAATAAGATGTTTTATATTTTAAGTGTACTTGAGTTTTGAGTTGAAGTATTAATCTGTCTGACATCTACATTCTCCTGCTTCAATTCCTTAAGTCATTCTCACACCAGCTAATTACTAAGGCTCCAAAGAGAGAACTCCAACCAGAGTCTGTCTCTCTTTTTTTTTTTTTAATATGTATGTATACCCACTCAAATATTAAGCACTATAAATTAAGTATCTTAGTTTTCAAACACCCAAGGCGCAGGCATTCATCTTGGCTACTGAATCCACATTTGATTTTACAGAAACAGCGGAAGATTATAGTGCCACTTACAGCTGCATAGTGCTTAACTGGCTGAAGTCAAGGACTTACTTTTCGGGTTGAAGTTTTGTGTAGGGAATATACAGCTGTTTGTGCCATTTGCAAAGCTACCTTCAGAAAAGTCATATCCATTCCTGTAAAAAGAGGATCCAAGCTGCAGTTAAAGCCTTATTTGTCTGCATTTATTTAAAGTCTTAAATTCTTTAATTTCATGCTTAAGTGTCCTTACTTTTCTATAAAGGGAAAGGATAGCATAATTTTAAACCTAATAATTGCAGTTATGCTTGCTAGCCTGTACATTTTGAAAAGCAGTGTTGAGTAAAGGCAGGCACAGACGAGAGGGTGTGTATTTCCATATTTTTCCTAATTGTGGTGTCTAGCATAGGTGTAGATAAGTTTAATTGTATACAGCAATATACAAAAGAACTACTAGTTCAACTAGTTATTAAAGGCCAATTATCAAAACTTCAACACCATTTCCTGAAATGATTCAACTTAACCAAGGACTTTACATATGGCTCACAGGTGGATGTGGCTACATCACAAAATGGGCAAAGGAGTAACTGTCTCTAAGGTCCCATATAGAATAGCAAAGGTTTTGACACTTTTAAAATTTGTTAGCAGATGAAGATTTCCTTTATAATATTTCATTCTTAAAAGTAAGTAGGAGTATTATAATTGCTTTTTAGAATCACCAACCTTTATTATGCTTAGTACCAAAAGGAGGATTCATGATTACTGTGTCAAAAGTTTTTGACGTTCTGGCAGCTAAAGAACATACATCGCACTGAATCATGTCAATATTTGTGAGCTCAAACTCTTCTGCATTTCTACTAAATATTTCCAGGGCATCTGCATCTACGTCAAACCCCACACACAACCTGGAAAATGAAAATCAATCAACAAACTGCAGTATTTTTACTTTAAAAAGATGTGGTACATTTTCTTTTCAGAAGGCTCATTTCTAAACACAGTCATATTTGTTCCCACTCAAGTTCTGAGAGAGGTGCCTAAAGCAGAACATTCTGTTATCTTCTTCATGAGTTAGAACAGTGATATATTTTAGAAGTAAATTACTAAAAGGAATGCAAGTGTAAAGCTTTTTACTTAACTTTTTGAACAGGATATGAATAATAGTTTGGAGAAAAATATTTTCTAAATTATGAAGATGTTTCTAATAAATAATTCTCTATTTTAAATATAGAGGAATTGCCCCTATTACTAGTCATTATTTGCATGCACATACAGGAGCTAGATCTACTAAAATGTGTGGTCATGCACCCATTTTTAGTTACCTAAATTAAGTACAGTCTAGCACTGGTCACATTCTTAATCTTATCTCATTTAATTCTATACTGGGAAAGAAACTAAGAGAACTTGGGTGTTAAACACCTACCCTGCTCCTAACATTACACTCCCGATGCTGAGTACACCACAACCACATCCTAGATCTGCAACCACCTTGTTTTCAATATCATCAAAAGTGTTGTGAATTGTATAAAGCATACATGCTGAAAAATAAGAGATTATAGGATAAGAACAAATAGGCAGTTGACAAGTCAATGTATTATTTTCTTTTGTCTTTCAGAAAGCTTTGAAGCAGATTCAAAATTAAGCAAGGACACATAGGCTATGGTAGATTATACAGGAACCAAGCTATACACAAATCTAGTGATCCCAGTAAAATACACATCCTTGTTTATGTATGGAAACAAAAAATGAAGAGTAAGAAAGAATCTAGATCATTGGTCTTACATGTTGGTCTCATATATACAGCAGTGTATTCTTTGTAATTATGAAAGGTGTACAAGAAAATTTTGTTTGTGATGGTCCTATAGTGGAAATGAAAAGGAGTACTTGTGGCACCTTAGAGACTAACCAATTTATTTGAGCATAAACTTTCGTGAGCTACAGCTCACTTCATCAGTGGAAATGGTATTTTATAATTACTCAGACTGAAAGATCGATATTAAAACTAAGAGCCGTGTTTCTGTGTTCTTAATACCTGACGCAAACTAACAGTTCTTATCCGTACAAATCAGAAAGTTTTCTGCAACCCACATCCTTAACTTTAAAATCCATTTATTAGATTTAATTGTTTGAGATATTAGAGACATTTACTGAAACAAATGCATTAGTGTTTCTCTTTAAGCTATCTCTGGCAATAATGCAAAAGCCTCTAATGAATTTATTACTCTCTCAGGACACACAAATAAACATCTAGAAACAAAAAAACATTTAGCAGATTTTTTAAAAATTGTTTTTTACAGTTTAAGTATTGATACAGTTTTGGCACCAGAAAACTGAGAATCTACAACAATTTTATGTTTAATTTCTACCTGCAATGTGTGGTCTTGTTGGATACTGTTCAAGAAGTAATTTTGGATTCTCAAAATCATCAACTTGCTGAAGACGGCTTTCTAGTTCCTTAAGTTTTAACTTCTTCATGTTTGTTTATTCAACTAAAAAAAAATTAATTTATAACCAGGCATAGTTTGCACTATTACAATTGTTCTTATAGTTATACATAAAATACAAAAACTTTTAAAAACTAATTAAAAATAAACATACATTAGAAAAAAACACATCCTGTTTCTCAGACTTACTTTTTTATGTATATAGCATACAAGTGTGACTTAAGAGATCATATAGTTGGCAAAAACCAAACCCAGCCCCCCTACAGTCCTGTTTGGCTAATGAGCACACTCCAGTATTAACTTCAATGGCAGCTGCAGATGTTCAGTGCCTTGATGCATAGGCCCCATAGCTAATGGGATGTCTGCAAATCTAGCTGGAAAAAGTCATGTAAATATGATGTATCTGCAAGCTGACTCCTTTTTCCATCACTTAGCAATTTATCCCAGAACAAAAATTGAGTGCTGTGAACATTAATTAGTTAATGCTAGTAGGGGACTTGGATTAAATAAAGTTATATATAAATATTAACTGTAATAACATTGAGGTTAATTAAAAAAAAATTGTTCTGAAGCAGGTTTTCTGCATCCTCACCTGTCTGAAGAGCCAGAAAAATGAATCCTCTCCCTCTGGGGCTCTAGTGGCTCAACTACTCTCTAGGGCTACCAAAATTGAACTCACTGCACAGACACCCCCCTGCCCATCAGCAGCGCTCCCTACCCACTGAAGTGGATTACCATCGCCTACCCACTTGGGTCACTGCCACAACCCCATCACCACGCACAAACGAAGTACTTTCCGTAGCGAGGGGAGCCTCACAGCGGGACAGCGTGCTGCTGTGAGCTGTGCTGCTGATTTCCTTCGCCGCAAAGCATGCAAGGCAGGGCGCTCCTGTCCTGGGGCTGCCTCCTGCGTCTTTGCACAGCACCCAGCACAATGCCCATTCCCGGCCGCTCCCCGCCGGAGCCCAGGCTCGGAGACCGCCAAGCAACTGCTGCAGACCCCACCACCTACTTCCGCGCACCTCCTCTTCGCTCTACACAGTGCAGCAGTTTAACCCGTCCCCCACGCATGCACATAAGAAACTGAGACCAGCGCTGTGAGTTCCACCCAGGTACTAGCAGCGTTGTACCCTGCCCAGAGCACCTTTCCCTTCCTGCTTTCTTGTGTGCATTGGTGGTGGTGTCCTCTTTGTGTCCCAGGCTATTAGAGAGACAAGATGGGTGAGGTAATATCTTGTATTGGACCAACATCTGTTGGCCCCCGAGACAAACTTTAAAGCCCTTGAATGGTTCCTTGAAATATGTGTTAAGTCAGGGGTTCTCAAACTGGGGGGTCAAGACCCCCTGAGGGGGGTTGCAAGGTTATTACATAGGGGGTCAAGCTGTTAGCCTGCACCCCAAACCCTGCTTTGTCGCCAACATTTATAATAGTGTTAAATATACAAAAAAAGTTTTTAATTTATAAGGCGGGGGGGTCGCACTCAGTGGCTTGCTATGTGAAAGGGGTCACCAGTACAAAAGTTTGAGAACCACTCTGTTAAGTACTTACTCGAACCCAGTAGTTCTCAAACTTTCCTATTGGAGACCACTTGCACACAGCAAGCCTGAGTGCAACTCCCCCTTATAAATTAAAAACACGCTTTTTATATTTAAGACTAAATAAATGCTGGAGGCAAAGTTGGGTTTGGGGTGGAGGCTGACAGCTCACAACCCCCACATAATAACCTCCTGACGTCTGAGGGATCAACCCCCAGTCTGAGAACCCCTGTGCTAACCACTCTGTTCCACCTATATTTAGCTGACACTCTGAGTACATTTCCCAGACCTGAAGAGGAGCTCTGTGTGAGCACCATAGCTTGTCTCTCTCACCAACACAAGTTGGCCCAATAAAAGATATTTCCTCACCCACCTTATCTTTCCCTGCTTTGCTCCTTCTAGACACAGCAGAAAGAAATGGAAGAGATCACCCTGTGAGCCTTTTAGCTGGCAGATGGAGAGGAACACTCTCCTCCTTTGCTGGTTTGTTCTCTCTCAGCTGAATTGAAATTGGGCTTTGTGAAGGATACATGATAACCACTCTTTGAGGATACACATAGGAAAAGGCAGCGAATGCACCTGTAACTGAGTACATATTCTTGCAAATGCACATTTGTTAGAGTTAAATACATCAAGATACTACTTTTTTCATTATTTTTCTAGCAAAGTACAAATGTTCAATGTTTTGCAAAACACTTGCCAGGTACAGCTTTCTCTTTGCCCAACAGTTTACTGACCAATAAATGTCTGCAACATAATTCTAGTTCCAGTATTTCAAAGCAGTGACTCAAGAGCTATGAGGTAGATTTGAATTCCTCCCAGGTCACCATTTCCCTAGCAACCATCTCTTTATTTCATATCATAGCCGTTGCTTAGCACCAGATTTTAGTGACCAAAACACTGGCAGCTCCTTTGTCTTTTAGAAAGACTGTCACCTTTTAATAGATTGGATTTAAATGTTTTTACACTCATTTGCAGTTCCTTCCTAGAATTCTGTGGAAAAAATATCATGCTGATTGCACATTATTACTTGGGTTTTATGTTCCTAATGTACCAAAATACAAGATGCATTAGTTTACTTTACTTGTGGAGTATGCCAGCAGGAGAGTTAGAGAAACAAGTAATATCTTTTAGTATCTTTTTCAGCTCTGTGACATTCTCAGTTCCTTGCCCAGACCTGAAGAAGAGCCCTATGTTGCTTGAAAGCTTGTCTCTTTTACTGACAGAAGTTGGTCCAATAAAAGATATTACCTCACCCACCTCTCTAATATCCTGGGACCAACGCAGCTACAACACTCCAAGCAGAGAAGCGGACAGCCCTAGGAATAATGTTGCAAAACCAGCAGAGGGAGTATCCACGTTGTTAGGTTTTGTTTATTTGTTTTGTTTATTTGGCAGGCCAAATAAAATGTAGGACTATTTTCGTTAAGGCAACATTTTTTTTTAAAAAACTTGTCATCACTCAATAGTAAATTTAATTTCAGAGCGAATATTGCTTCAAAAGTATTGCAGCCAACAGCTGTAAATTTAAAAATATTATAATCCTGAGGACTTTCCCCCTTAATCTGTAAAAATGTAGAGTCCTGTTCCTGCAGTTTACAGTGCAGAGCTCCACACGGATACAGCAGTAGTCTGCTCTGTATTGTAAATTGAAGGATTGGAACCTATGGCTGCTCAAATTTGATTTGTGGTTTCATTTACTTAATAGTAAGAGTGTTTCTTCATTATGTATTTATTTTATTTTTAAGAGCCTAAAAATGCTAGCAATTTCACAAAACAAGTAGAGGCCTAAATCCAGCCTTTATCATTTTAATGGGATTACTCATGTGAGTAAACACATGCACAAGTGTTTGCAGGTTTGTGGCTTTACTGTTCACTTTTTATTCTCGGTTAACATTTCATTCAATGTGGACAATGAAAATAGGCTAGCCAGTTTCACTTTGGTTTCTAGTCATTTTTGTCTTTCAGCTTCGAAGGCAGGGGCCAGATCCTGCAAGTTTATACACAGATTCATCTCTAGGGATGAACTTGCATATTAAGGGCCCCATTCAGCAATCACAACAGTGCAATGTTTAAATCCAAACAAAATGGCTTTTACTTGAAAATTAAAAATAATTAAAACATTTCTATTAGTATAGGTTTGTATAATCTTTCTAGAACTATTGTTTTTCTCCATAAATACCATGGCAGAATGCAACTGATCCCAAGCGACCAGTATATATTTAAGTTCGGATGGGCTAGGATCACATAGAGGAGGTAATATTATCATCATTTTGGTCAAAACTTGTATCCATTATTTTTTCTTAAACGATTACAGTGAAACCTGCACAAGGCACCTCCCTAAGCAATCTTCTGTCTTAAGCGCCTATCTCACAATATCACTGAAACCAGGGTTCACCTTATTTTGCGCTGAGAGTCTTAGATGAGAGACGCTGTAAATACCAGGCCAAACATGAGGATGGGGCTAAAGGACACGACAGTGTCCCTCTCTAAGAGTTCCTGGGAAGTTTCCTCCGAAGGTGGCATCTGCTTAGGACGTGCTCATCAGCGCAGGGGCTGTGTGAGAGGCAGCAGGGTGCTTGAGCAAGGCGGGCGGCGGCGCCCAAGACAGGGCCCTGGAGGAAGAGGAGGGGAAGGAGGGACAATGTCAGGAGGAGGCAGACGCAGGGCGGGGGGAACGGGCGTCTTGCGGCGGGCACTGTGCCGGCTCCCAGGCTATCGCGAGAGAGGCGCCGCTAGGAGGGGAGAGAGGGCGGGGGTCGGAAGCCCCAGAGCCGGGAGCCCGGCGCAGCCGTAGCGGCTCCAGCGTCCCGGGTTCCCAGTCCTCATCATGGCGGGGGCCGGTGCGAGCGGCCGGGAGAAGCGGGCCACGGCGGCGCGGCTGAAGGCGGCCCTGAGCGACGGCGGGGAGAGCGGGGCGGCGGCGGAGCTGCAGGCGTTGCTGGAGCGGGCGCTGGCCCCGGCCCCGGGCGGCGGGGAAGCGGCGGCCGAGGCGCTGGAGTGGTGCCGCTGCCTGCTGTCGGGCGGGGAGCCCTGGGAGGGCTTCGTGCAGGCGGTGCGGGCCTACGACCCGGCCACGCTGTGCGGCCTGGTCTGGACGGCCAACTTCGTGGCCTATCGCTGCCGGACGTGCGGCATCTCGCCCTGCATGAGCCTGTGCGCCGAGTGCTTCCACCAGGGCGAGCACGCCGGGCACGACTACAACATGTTCCGGAGCCAGGCAGGGGGCGCCTGCGACTGCGGCGACGGCAACGTCATGCGGGAGGCCGGGTGAGCCCCGGGGGGCGACCTGGCTGGGAGGGGAGTGGGCCGGGGGCGACGGGGCCTGTGGCTGGAGGCTGAGGGCTGGCACCTGCAGTCTCTGCCCTAGTGGGTGGGCCTAGGACTGCAGGTGCGTCGTTAGCCGGCTCCCAAGGGAAGAGGTGGCACAGCGGGTGGGAGTCGCTTTTTTGAGGGGAGGGTCAGGCGGGCGCGGTGATCTGCTGCTAGTATTTAAACGGAGGGCTCAGGCAGAAGTGTCACCCGTTAGCTTGTGATGGGCTCTGTGATTAAGGTGCGTGTGCCGCAAAGGGGAGGCCAGAGAACTGTGGGAATGTATTCATCTGTTTCCCCCTTTAAACCAAAATCCTTTCTCTCGCCCCGGAGGTAGGGAGTGCGAGGAAAGTAACCACGAAAATGGCTTTGTGGGTTCCACACTGATTGTGTATCTGTGAATCTGTGTCAAAGTAAAAAGGTGCATTTTTTAACAACATTGTCAGCCCTGCAGAATTGATCAGAGAGTCAAGCTGGGTTGTTTTCTTCTCATGCCCCATACCATCATCAGCAATATGGATTTTGCAGGCTAAATTCTTCCTCCAGTGGCAACGAGTGCACAATTATACAGGGACAGTTGTACAAACCCATTGCTTTCTGGTCTTTCTCAGATGTAACCGTTACTGTACATGGAAGTTAGTAATGAGTCTGATAATGCACAAAAAGAAAGAAAATTCAGCTCCATGTTAGCTGTGTTTGTTGAACAGAACCAAACAAGACAAAAAATGTCAAAATATTTTGTCAGTATGTATGATGAAATACACAGAGATCAGCTAAGAGTGCCATTTTGACATACTTTATTCTGAGATTATTTTACCCTTCAATTTGAATGCTGTTCATAACTTTTAAATCCTGGAGTCACTACCCTTATGTGAGTGGTGCGTGATTCACAGAACCCGGCTGGGCTCCAAGAAAAGTGAGTAGACTATCAAGGATCCTTCTTACTTTAACTAATGTGATTCAAGTTATAGTGTTGACCAGGCCTGGGTATACAGTCAGCGGCGGCTCTACCAATTTTGCGGCCCGAAGCAGTCGCCGCCTAATTGCCGCTGCCGCCATAGCTTGGATAGCTGGTGCCTGGAGCTGGCCCTGTATACAGTTATAAAAAGGGGAACGAGGTATGCCTTGTCAGAAAAGAAAGCAATCAGCCAAGCAGTAGTCAAACAATGGCTAATTTGTAGGTATGTCTTGATTATTGAGGAGATGAAAAAGATGGTAGTGGGGAAAGCATAATTAGAGGAAAAAAGTAAACAGCAATAACACTGCTTTTGGTTATTTAAATACAGAATGTGTACTGGCTGACTTCCAAAAGAATACCAATTGTTTAACCACGTTACTCAGAGTAAATACAAGGTAGATAGTATTCGACAATGTTATCAAAACAGCCATCCAGTCTCTTTCTATACAATTTTCAGACATGGCATCTGACAGTAACTTATAGGAATGCAAGGAATGTTGTAGCCACTCTCGAGTGAACTCTCACAGAAAAATGATAGAAGACAAAAACACCATATCACCCTAGGATGAACATGTTGCACAAAGGACTCTGCAGTCACTCCCTATCTGACCTCACAGTCCTCGTCCTCACATGAAACCTGCACAACACCTTTAAAAGGAAAGCCTGGGAACTCTGTTAGACGCCAAAAATCATGGACTTAGTAAAGACAATAGATTTATGGTTCATTACAACAGTCTGTAACCCACTAACCTTCCTTTTTCCTATGACTGTAGAGGTGTTACAACTGCCCACTTCACCTTGAATGGTCTCTTGCAACATTATGTTAACTCCTTACTTGTTCTACCTTGAATTTTAGCTGTGGCACTCTGAGTACCTTTCCCAGACCGGAAGAAAAGCTCTGAATAAGCCCAAAAGCATGTCTCTTTCATCAACAGAAGTTGATCCAATAAAAGATATTACCTCACCCATGTTGTCTCAGGAATGTAAGGAAACGTTAAAAGTTTCCCTTTCTCTGTTTTACATCTTTATTCCTTTTTATTTAAATAAATTAATCAAAATCAGTGGTGGGCGGCCTGCGGGCCGTATGTGGCCCATCAGGGTAATCCACTGGTGGGCCGTGAGACGTGCATGCACGGCCTCTTGCAGCTCCCAGTGGCCGCGGTTCGGCACTTCCGGGCAATGGGAGCTGCAGGAAGTGGTGCAGGCTGCAGGGATGTGCTGGCTGCCACTTCTCGCACCTCCCATTGGCTAGGAACGGCGAACTGCAGCCACTGGGAGCTGTGAGGGGCCATGCCTGCGGATGGTCAATGTCAGCAAAATGTCTCGTGGTCTGCAATCAGATTATCCTGATGGGCTGCAGGTTGCCCACCACTGATCTAACTAATTTTGTTCCTCTATTTCCTTTCTTTCTGCATTCCAATTTAGGGTTTTTTCTTATCCTGCCGTTTTTGATTTTTTGTTTTTGTTTTTAAGTTGTTTCCTGACTCATTCTTTTCCTATAATAATCTCCATTCACCTGCTCTATAACCTACAACTTTACTCAATAGTCTCTGCCTCTCTTATTATTTCTCTCTTGCTGCTCTTCTAGCCTGTCTCTTTCATCCCTCATTTTTTCCTTCTCCTGTTTTCTGTGAGCCCCTCCCTCTCTTCAGTTCCCATCAATCAGATGGGATGTCTTTCTCTTGCCTTGCCTTCATCTTAATTGAAGTATTAAAACCATGAGGTCAGTGGTCCAGCTGTTTTCTTGAGGCAGTCAGCTATCTCTACTGTTGGTGTCTCCAGTCTTCCTCTTCTGAGGCACTAAGGTGAGAGCACAAGTAACAGCTCCCCTTGGTAATGGGAGGCCAGAGAAAGAGAAGACTTGAATGGCATACCAATCAACAGTCCGTTTGTGACACACAGGGCAGGATTTTAGTGGGACATGGCCAAATTGAAAAACACATTTTCAGAATAGTTTTAAAGCAGTTTTTGGGTCAGTAACTTATCCTAAATTTCAGTTTTTATAATCAGTTTCCTATTTTAAAACTAATTCTCACCTGTGGGGAAATTGGTTTTATAAAGAAGAAAGAAAATTGTTGTTAAATCCACAGAGTAACCACATTAAAATATATATAACATTTCTCACCTGATTTTTCAGTTATAGCAATCTAAGGTGTTACCTATAATATTAGTTGATAGAAATAATAAAATGTAGACAAATGGGAAGGGGAAAGATGGATTGAGCTGTCATTGGTGGGGTAGGAGTAGGAACGATTGAAATTGTTGTGTGGGGCAGATCCCATTCTATGGGTATGGTCATTCCAGATAAAGCAATACAGTAGAACCTCAAAGTTACGAACACCAGAGTTATGAACCGACCAGTCAACCACACACCTCATTTGGAACTGGAAGTACACAATCAGACAACAGCAGAGATACATTCACACAAAAGCAAATGCAGTACAGAACTGTGTTAAATGTAAACTACTAAAATAAAGGCAAAGCAGCGTTTTTTTCTTCTCCATAGTAAAGTTTCAAAGCTGTATTAAGTCAATATTCAGTTGTAAACTTTTGAAAGAACAACCATAACATTTTGTTCAGAGTTACAAACAACCTGCATTCCTGAGGTGTTTGTAATTCTGAGGTTCTACTGTCTTTGTTTTGATTTTTCTTGAAAAGTACAAGAACAATACTGTGAAAGTGAGCTTCAGTTTGCTAATAAATACATTACAAAGTGCATTTTGGTACTTAGAAGTAGCCTGGTCTAAATATAAAATTTAATAAAATTATGAATATAAAATTTCCTCAGCTTAAGTAAAGATAGGATGATAAGATGGTGCAGTTTACTGTACAGGGAAAAGCTAAACCAAAGTAAAACAGGTTTAAACTACTGTCAGAGTGTCCACATGCTAAGTTCCACTGGTTGAGCTGAATTGGTTTAACGTAGCACTTTTAGTAAAACTGGTACAATTTTGTGTGTATATTAGGTCATCAATACATAAGAAGTGCTGAGGTGTGCAAAGCTAAGATAGCAGCTTGGATTCATGCAATAGAAGTTGGGTTTCTAGCTTAACGTAAGGTCACTGCAGCCTAGGCTTCTATTAATAGCTGAGAGATTCAAATGTGGAACCTGCTTACAAACTTTGTCTGCCATCTGCTTTGCTCAGATAAAATTTTGTAGTTACTATCCATGAAAGACACAAGTATTGGTATTATGTTCCTCAGTTTTTGTGATTTGATCACCCATGTTCTGAACTTTTACTCAAGACATATTGACTTAGAAGAATGCTTTCTAATGCAGTCTTAGCGAAGTACATGATGATTTATTTATTGTAGTATAAATCTGTTTAGTTCACCATGTAGTGCACTGTCTCTTTAAGAGGGTTAATAAAAACCCAAATAAAATAGGCTGTGGTGTGGGAAGGGTGTATATAAATGCTTCAGTAAGGCTTGTATTTAAGATTGTAGTCTATTTCTTGCAGCTACAACAATATACAATTTTATAATAGATGTCTGTAAAC